AATTTCTGATTTGTTATATTTTCCCCTCTAGTGACTTTTAATTTATTAGAGTATAAAATAGAATTTGATACTATAATTTTTGGAATAACAGCTGTTGGACCCAGTTACATAACAATCCAAATAAATGACCAAAAAGATTGAATTTGGAGTATCAGCTGCTAAAGGGTCAGAGAATAGGTCTCTCCCTCTGCCTCTGCCCTTTCTCTCTCTCTACACACACACACACACACACACACACACACACACACACTTTTTGGCCACCATTTGAAAATAAGTTACAAACATCATAATACCAGAATTTTCCATCTTTGCTGATCTCTTGGAGAACAAATTCCTCGTGATCGTTTGGCTTTGATTTGTGACATCGACATTGCTGGCCATTCATCTTCTTTCATCTGTGACTTTGTGGCAGATTAGGTCATTATTGTGTTTCATATGTCAATATCACTTGATCTGTTTTACTGGAAAGGTTTTTGTGATCTGATTGGTGAGGCTGTTTTAATCAGCTTTTATTGTGGTATCTCGGACAAGTTGCTTAACTGTGTCACTTTTCTCCATTTGTAAGACAGGCATAAAAGCACCTGAACAATTTGCCTGTGAAGGCTGCATGACAGCTTTACAGAGAAACTGCTCAATGTTCCCTTTCTCCCTTCAGTGCATATACCGTGCAGGGGATTACCCACCTCCACCCTTCACCACTGAGAGTCCCCATCTTGTTCATAAATCAGAATCATTACATTCCCAATTTGTCATTAAAAGTCTCTATAGACATTCCCGGAAATGACTCGTAAAGCAGATAGTTAACAGGTGGATTCTAGTTTCCTACTGGAGCAGTATTCCAGTCGGGGCTGCCTTCTGGACCAAAGCCTCGTATCCAGTATGCCATGTTCTAAACAAGAGCAAAGTGTCATGAGCTGCTCTGTGCTCTTGAATCTGGAGAATATGCATCCATGTATGAAAGGGGTTGGTTGAGCCAGTAATCACAGGATATCATGAACTGTACAGAAGGCGCATAAACTATTTTATCCATTGGAACCCTCAGAAAGAAAAATCCTGCTACATTCAAATTAGAGATTATTTCTTTTTTAAATTAAATTTATTGGGGTAACATTGGTCAATGACATAAGTTTTAGGGGTTCAACTTTATAATACATCATATGTATATTGCATTATGTGTTCACCACCCAAAGTCTAGTCTCTTTTCATCACCTTATATTTAACCCCTTTTACCTTCTTCATCCTCCCCTCACTCCTGTTTTCCTATGGTAACCACCAAACTGTTGTCTGTGTCTATGAGTTTATTTGTTTGTTTTGTTTGTTCATTTGTTGCTTTTTGTTTATATCCTGCATATAAGTGAAATCATATGTTTCTTATCTTTTTCTGTCTTACTTATCTCACTTAGCATGATACTTTCAGGATCCATTCATGTTGTTGCAAATAGTAATATTTCATCCTTTTTATGGCTGAGTAGTATTCCATTGTACACCACATATTGTTTATCCGATCATCAGTCAAAGGACGCTTAGGTTGTTTCCATGTCTTGGCTATTGTGAATAATGCTGCAATGAACGTAGGGGGTACATATATCTTTACAAATAAGTTTTCAAATTTTTTAGGTAGATACCCAGTAGAGGAATTGCTACCTGGGTCACATGGTAACTCTATTTTAATTTTTTGAGGAACCTCTATACTCTTTTCTATGGAGGCTGTACCAATTTACATTCCCACCAACAATGTATGAGGGTTCCCTTTCTTCACATCCTCTCCAACACTTCATTCCTTTTTTATGGCTAAATAATATTTCATTGTATGGGTGTTCCGCATTTTGTTTATCCATTCATCCATTACTGGACATTCGAGTTGTTTTCACTTTGGGCTACTGTGAATAGTACTGCTGTGAACTTTGTGTATAAGCCTTTGAACACCTGTTTTCAATTCTTTTGAGTTTATATCTAGGAGTGGAATTGCCGAGTCATATGGTAATTCTATGTTTAACTTTTTGGAGAACTGCGAAAGTGTTTTTCACAGTGGCTGCACCATTTTACATTCTCTCCAGCAATGCACAAGGATTTCAATTTCTCCACATGCTGGCCGACACCTCTTATTTTGGTTTTCTAGATTATAGCCTTTCTAGTGGGTGTGTAGTGGCATCTCATTGTGGTTTTACTTTGCATTTCCCATGCTTGATGTCCATTTGTATATCTTCTTTGGAAAAATGTCTGTTCGAGTCCTTTGCTCATTTTCTAAATTGGGTTGTTTTATGTGTTATTAATAATTAATTCACTTGATTATTCAGTTGAGCATCTCTAACATTCCAGGCACTGTGAAGTACTGGGTATAAAACCATGAGCACATTAGTTGCCAAAGTGAGAAATCAAGAGAGTTCTTTTTAAAACAAAAAAAAATTCTTGTGTCTTGAGTTATGAAATCAGATTTAGCAGCAGATCTGGGCCTGAAATCTCACGTGCAAATTCTCTGAGGGCACCCCTGCGTGTGGGGCTTTACTTTGTCATGGCTCTCACCTGACTGATTTACACATATTCATTTCTACCTGGGGCTTGTATTTTGCACTATCTAAGGCCTTACTAAATATTTATTTTAATTGAGTTAGAAGCAACTGGAGCTGCTGGCTGTCCTCCTCCAGCTTCAACACATTAAACAAACAAACAACTTTTCCTAAAACAAAATCTTTTTTATTGCCTTTTTCATGTTTAAATGGAATACCTACCACTTTAAGAATAGAAAAAGAAGTGGCTGCCCTTTTTGGCCAAGGCCTTTGGGTTGTGTTGAAGGAAGGAGAGAGAATCAGTTCTGTTTGTGCTTGGACTTTCAAAATGATAGGTGGTTCTGACATTTATGAGCAAATTGCATTGATATGAATTTCTAGAACTCTTAAGTTCTTTGAAGGAGCCACCTGATTCCACCTCAGCTCTGCCCTACTCCAGTCCTAGTTTCTTGGTTTCAATTAGTAAACAATGGTGGAAAAAATAAAATTGAGATTAGATAATCTCTCGTGACCAGATAAGGGATAAACCCAAAATCTAAAGAACAGAATTACCTATCCCACTCCTTTTGCCCCAATCGAAGTGGGTTATGTGGCTGTAATTTTGGGCTCAGCTCTTTACCAGCCCAGCAGTCCACTAGGCTTCTCTGTACTTCAGTTTTTTTTAATCTGTAGAATGAGAGTTCACAATTCCTACCTAGGAATTTTAGGATTAACTTCATGTGTATCGGAGAAACCCACTCTCTCGTGGCTTAAAGGAGATGGGAATTTCTTTTTCTGGGAGATAGCTAGTCTGTAGTTGATATGGTACATCCTGCTATCAGACACCAACCCCCTCTGTCCTGCTGCTCTGTGGAGTCCAAGTTCACCAAGTGGTCCAAGATAGCTGCCATTCTTTTCCTGTCACAGGCAGCATTCTAGCTGGCCCAGAGAGGAGAAATCCTGTGTCTTGATTTGGATTCCCCTGAGAACAAGGACGTGGGTGCAGGTGCTTTATTTGTGACCCTAGGAAGCAGAAGTGAGGGAGTGGGAAGAGGAGACAGAAAGAGCAGCCAATATTGGCTGTTACTGAAGTTGTCGCCCCAGGTAACCAGGGTTTTACCTGCTAGAACCTCTGAGGAGGTATAGCTGCTAACCAGAACTGTCAGGCTGCAGAAGAGGAGGCACGAGAAGTCCCTGACCAGACAGACCTCCCCACAGAACTGTCCCAGCAGCTGAAACCAAAGGTGCTCTGAGGAGACATAACGTGGGGCACTAAAAGTGTCCGCAACGGTCACCCTCCCAGCAGCATGCCAGCGATGAGACCTCAGAACCCCAATCCCAGTCTGCTGCTTGCTTGTTCCCTACAGAGCTTCAGCAGTCCCCCCACTATGTGAATCATCCTGGCCTCCCCAGCTATAGCTTCAAAGTCAAGTCAGGGCCACCTCCCCATCAGCTTGCATTGTGACTTGCCCACCTACGAGACAGCAGCAGTCTCCTCTCTCATTTACAGGGAAACCCAGTTTTGCTCTCCTTTGCCCTGCAGACCATATTCTTCCCAGAAATTCTCCCCTACAAGCCATAAACAATAGGCATGGTCTTTTTAGCACAGCAGCTGCAGAATTGAATTATTAGAATTGGCCCTTGGGGGACCTACTCCACCCAGTGGTGGCCTGGAGGTGACCTGGAAGGCTGGAACCTGGAGCATATGCTTTCTGATGGGAACAAGGTCTGAGACCTGTTACACGACCATGTGGCCTGGGTGGGAGCCCAGCAGTTGTCCAAATTGGGCAAGTGAGCACAGATAGGCCTAAGCGTGTAATACCTGGACTTCTGGAGGCCTTTTCTGGTTTTGCTTTTTTAAATTAATAGACTTAAATTTTTGGTACAGTTTTAGAGTTTCAGAATAACCGAGCAGGTGGTACATAGAGTTCCACAAACTCATCCCACCCCACATGCAGCTTCCTCTATTAACATCTTGAATTAGTGTGGTACATTTGTTACAATTAGTGCACTGACATTGACATATTACTATTAACTATAATACATAGTTTACATTAAGATTTAGTCCTTGTATTGAACTATTTTATAGGTTTTGACAAATACCCAGGGGCTTTTTATCAGGAGGATGCAGTATCTAGGATGAGGCCATTCCTAGCCTTCCTAGGCCACCTGTCTGCTTAGTCAGAACACCATGATTTGCCTCGGTTTCCCTTTCTAAGGTTTCTGCACCAAGCCTCCTGGCCACTGGCACTGAGTGGAAACTGGGGAATAGGTTGGGGAAAAGAAACTTCTCCTATTAAGAATAAGAAGTCGGCCTCTGGTCTGGATCTCCCAAGGGTGAAGTAGCCCCTAAGTTTAACAGCTGTGGTTCCTCGGGATAGGGCAGGCTCAACAGTTTCTGGAGTAGTCCCTAATCCATTGTAAGCAGGCTGCCTCCCAGCTGGGTGTGCCAGGCCCTTAGTGCCAGGGAGGCCTGACCTGGTGCAATAGAGCCCGTGGCACCTCTCCATGCAGTTCCGAAGAGGTGGATTACACTGCTACCCTGCCCATCGGAGGCCTCAGCTATGTCCAGGGCTGCACCCAATTGCCTCTTATCAACAAGACTGTGGGGAGTTGCCTGGATGCTACAGCACAAAAGTTTCCGGACCGAGAGGCCTTGGTCATCGTCCATGAAAACATCAGGTTGACCTTTGCCCAGCTTAAGGAAGAGGTGGGTGCTAACCTTGAACCCTCAAAGTGGGCAGGTACCAGCCCCAGGCTGTGCTAGCTGGGCGGAGCTACAAGGGGAGCAACTGACTGTGGAGCAGGGTGCTGGGGCTGCCCGAGAACCCGAAGGGGTGTCAGGAGATGAGGACAGGGCTGAGGCAGAGGTGACCTGGATGCCTCCTGCATCAGTCACTCCTAGGGAACTTGTTAAATCTGTATATTTTAGGCCCCACCCCAGATTCAGAGGCCTGTCCCTTGTTCCCAGGTGGTTCTGATGTGAATCCTCGGGCCAAGGGCTGAGGTGGGAGTCATGGCCCCTTCCTGCTTGCCCTCATCTCATTCTTGTGCCTTGTATGTTTATACCAGGTGGACAAAGCTGCTTCTGGGCTCCTGAGTATTGGTCTCTGCAAGGGTGACCGGCTGGCCATGTGGGGACCCAACTCATATGCATGGGTGCTCATACAGCTGGCCACAGCCCAAGCAGGCCTCATTCTGGTGAGGAGGGGCTTGCCTGGCAAAGCTGGGTATATGGGGGGAGGGCATTATTCAGAGGAAGCCCCCCCAGCTCCTTGGCCCCAGAGCAAAACCAGTGCCTGCCTGGTTTCAGACTGGGTAGTGATTTCTCCTGAAGCCACCAAGGGGCTTTGCAGGGGCAGGGCGCTGCCTTTGTCTGCACCATGTTTCTGAACCTCTTGAAGGAAGAGGGGCAGCAAGAGGGACAGGGTCTGCCCAGGACACTGACATACCCTTGCTGTCTCTACCAGGTGTCTGTGAACCCAGGCTACCAGGCTTCGGAGCTAGAGTATACCCTCAAGAAGGTAGGACCCATTCCTGGGGAGTGGGGCCAGGTGAGCACCTGGCACAGAGGGCTGATAGAGTGGGGAGGGCATGCACAGATGGGTGATACCCAAAGTCTGTCATTCTTTAGGCTGTGGGAGGGGGTGGGAGGAGGGGGTGGTTGGGCAGATACAAGGCTGGTGTATGTATGGGGCTGGTGCATGCATGTGTCATGGTGGTAGTGTGTGTGTTAAAGAGTAGCGCATGTATATGTCAGGATGTACGAGAGAGAGCAACTGTTAGTGTGAAGTCCACCAGATTCCCAGTCTGGGGCTTCCT